AATACGATATTATCTTCTTTCTTTGTCTTTTTCAAAATAATTTTTTTATTAATTTAGAAAAATAGCATATAACATATTTATATTACTTTGCAGTCATATCGCATCAGTAAGAGATAATTAATAACTATTTCAAATTTTTAAGAAATACAAAAGAGATTTTTTACGAAATTACACTCTAATTACAATCATATAAGCTACAGATCGAAATTATTGCAACGCAACGAAATTTTTATTGTTTTATCTTTTTATGGGCGTTCTATGCTTATTCTATTTTCATTTCTCTTCGGAATCGTTCGTTTGCAGTTACGCGATATCTTAATAAAGCGCGTATACGTTCTCTCCTCTACTCACGGTCTCAGCGAAGCGAGTCTAGATCGGAAGACTAGTTGGCAGAACCTCGGATCTCCGGTAGTAAAATACGCAGCTTAATTGCTTAATTTCTCACAGCTAAGCCCGCTCTCCCCCTCCGCCCCGCCGCCGCCTTCAACGCCGAAGAACAAAGGCATGCGCCCGTTACTTCGGCCTTCTTACTTTTGCACCCTATCAACATTACTTCTCGTGTGACACTTTAATTATGCCGCTGCGAAAATCGGACAGAAGGCATAAGGGACGCGCCGCGAAAAAGGAATCTTTTTCATCCTGATCCGATTTTAATTATTAAACCACAAAGTTATCACCACGATTGCGCCGTGTGTGGCTCAAGTGGCTCGACAAATTGCGAATGCAACGAGTGAAGCGAGTAAAATAAATTATTTCTCTTAAAACAGAAGATTTCTTCAACAGAAAAATTCACGAAATCACGAGAACGTAAAAACATCGTATCTTATCTAAATTTCATATACTTTCTTGTTTTTGTTTGAAAATATTTTTCATTTATTTAAATATTTATAGATGGAGTATATTTATCTCATGTACGCGCGAGGTTGGAAAAGTTGTGCGATACATAATTGCATTCTTTAGAAAGAAAAATCCAACTTATGCGAAGTATTCCGAATAAATCAATAAGTAGCAGTTTGTAAAGTTTGTTAAAGTTATAAAGCAAGTATTTGTTTCGTAATATTTATAATACATAGATCACTACGAGAGATAGCATCGGTAACTTATTACGTAACAATATTAATCTTAGATGAATTAATAAACAACTAAAAATTTATTATTCGAATATTTTTTGCAAGAATATAACGAATTTAATATATATAGCAATATTTTTTTAATGTATTATATTACTAATAATGTACTTTAACTTATCGCGTTAAAAATATTAATTAATGTCTAATATATTTAAACGATTATTATTTTAAGAAGCATCAAATCATGTTTTGCTAGTGACACGAAGTAATATCTCTCTAATGAAACAGTATGATTCAACTGCTATTTTGTGCATTGATTTTCGCGTATCGTGACTTTTTGACTATGGAGTATATTCATCGTGTCACTATTTTGCAATCTTTGTTAGTCATAAACGTAATCCAAAATTTATAAGATAATAAATGGTCACTATTACGCTATTCGGTCAATCTAATCAACGTTACTGCGATATTAAACGATTAATTAAAAAGTTTTATTGTCACTTAGCAATAATAATTGTCATATGGAAACGGTGCCACATTATCGCGTGTTTAATAATCCACGCGATATAATAAAAAAGTTAGCGTAGGAAGATTACTATAAATTTTAGATACGATTCATAGATAATTGAAAAGAATCGTAGAAACTAGTTTTAGATTTCTTAATAATTCACATATATTTAAAGCAATCGGTATTCCATGCTCTCTGTAGCTTAATGCAATTTAGATCAACTTAATTTTTTATACAAAAATGAGATCATAATATTTCGATAAAATAATATTTTTTTAAATAAATTCTTTTTTGGTTAATAATTTTTGTTTTACACAACGGCTTATACAAATTTAAGCAATAGATTGCAAATCTATTTTTATTCTCTACTTGACAGTTTCTATCGACAAAATTGAAAAATATAATTAAAATGTAATATACATATATAACAAAAAAAATAACAAAAATTTTAATTGATCTTCAAATATATAATCTTTTATTATTTTTCCAACTTCTAATGAGTGATATAGATTTTACAAATATTTAGCATCACAAATATATTAATTTATTTATAATTTACAAATATCAGTTTTTTCAGCGCTATAGTTTCTTTTCGATCTTTGTAATTGCGAATTTTATTTAGCTTCACTATACCAAAGAACTGACATATTTTTTTCTTTCCATCGATTAAAGTATACGCAATTAGTAACGCTTGTAATTAGTAACTCGGCTGACAGTGGTCATTATACCGAATCCGATTATGAAAATGTCCCGTCGGGATTCTGTCGCCAAACATAATAGGAATATTGAGATTGGAACAAGAGTATCGTACAATAGATCCGTGTAAGGTAACGGTAATCAGATTAACATCTTCCTAGTTTAGCTGTCGACGAGCGATCGGTCGTCGCAATGTATTTGCATAACACTTCACATTCCGCGCGTTCTATACTGTTGATTTCCTCTCCGAAGCCATATCGCTATCAAATCCGCCATATCGCTATCAAATTCGCCCGGCACAGTTCAGAATCAATATCGAGTTCTTTTCACGGGTCCGCGGTGGAGAGTTAATTTTCCAGCGCGTTTTCGCGGCAAATGGCGTGGATGAATGAACGGCTCGGTGATGATTTAAATCAAGTAGCGCGTGGGTCCTTCGTTAATCTCTCCCGAACTACCGACTGAAGAATTCGCCTCTGGCAAACAGTTAAGTTTTCTCATATTCTCACGGTTCGGTAGGAAGCCGTTTTTCTCACGTGACTTCCTCCGATTTACATAGAGCTACAGAGCCGAGACGCGCGGGCAAACGTCCTGGCGGATAAATTAAAAGTAGACGATTTTATGCCGCGGAATAACTCGCAGCGGTTCGTAAAGATCGCGTGCAAGAAATTCAGTAAGTTTGCAGAGAATCATTTCTTCCGCGTAGCTTAATAGTTCCGACGACTGTCACACTTCAGCGGAATGGCTCCAACGGTCCGGGTATAGTTTGATTAACGTTTGCTACATTACGAAGTTAGAGCAAGAGTAAATTTTATGTGTTTCCTTTGGATTGTAATTTAAGTTTGCGATGTTACTTCACACACGGTTGATCGCTCCTTCTTTCGATTTGTCTTCCCTCCGTGAGTTTAATTTAATTAAATTTTTAGTGCACTTAAAATGTGATAATAATTTGTCAGTTTTTAATTAAAGTAATACGATAGTAATATTAAACGGTAATAACGTAAAAGTACGTGATTAGTGAATGAATTAAAATAATAAGAGAAAAATTTTACTAGTTATTAATCTTCACAAGAAAGAACACCGCAGTAAATCAAGAATCTCTGAAATTAAATATCAAAGCGACTGATTTTTATGATTCTTTTTGCAAGTGTTTTTTTCATCAAGTTTTATTCGAAACACTTTTCCATCGACGGCTTCCTCCTGTCGTCGACACTTTAAGAAGCAATTAGATCGCTCGTTTCAGCATTTAACGACATCGTATTCCCATTAGATCGTACTCAGCTCTCTTTGCAGTTTTTAAAAAACTCCCTGAGCGGCTAACAATTCGCGTCGACACAGCGCATTTAGATCTTTTGTTAATCAAGTCTGCTTTGTTAGGCTTGGAGTTCACCCACGTACTCCATGTAATTCCATCGAAATCCCTTCGTACCGCATGAGCGATCGCATCAAGCCAAAAGTGTACGCACAAGACGCATTTCGTCTTTCCTTTTTGCTTCGTCGGATATTAACGATTTCGTCTCGTTAAAACGATAAAAGGCGTTTTAATCCTATTCATCGATCGGTTTGCCCCGAACAAAAGGACGGAAATCGCGGTGACTCACTAGATCCGACATACCGATCTTTCGACGCGGAAGGAGTTCGCTCCGGTAGTTTTTCTCATCTCGCGTATCGCGCCGCTGCCTTGAAATCAGGATCGGCCGGCAGACGCGGTCATCGAACGGGGATCACTCTCGGTATCGCGAGCGTTACACCTCGGCTGCGACGAAATCGAACGGCAGAATGAAACTTCCCTTCCTTATATCGTTTTCTTTCCCGATCCCAATCCCCAAATGTAGCTTTATGGAGTTTTCTTAAGCGAAGCGCGGCTCCCACGGCTCAGACTCTATAACCGTTTTCCCAAACTACGGCACTTACGGTTGTGATCCGAGTGTGTTTGGAGAACGGATTGAATCCGTGCTTGCTTTGTTTAAGACATCGAGAAACTTGTGCACCCCAAATCAACTTCTTTGACCCACCCTACGATTTCGGGCGACACGGCTGGAGCTTTCTGGGCTTCTCGATGCTCCCTCGTCTCGAATCGCGAACTTATAATATACGTTTAAACGTTCAATTTTTTACGGCTGTTCGTATTTTTTTTTTTTTATTCGCGAAGGGGAGGATAAAACGCAATTGTTGAGAAAACGTGCGTATTTTACGGTAAATTGGGTTTTTGTCCGCCGGGCGTTCGATCGTGGAGCACTGTGGAATCATTGGCAACTGGTTCCTACATAAAATCCCACGGCTTCATAAACCCCTCGCGAATTTTTTATGCAAAATATTTTCTCCAGGTATGTATTTTTCCAGGCTTGAAAATTAGATCCATGTTAAATTTATCTGTCTCACTTATCGCTTTTCCTTCCTCGTTAATAGATGCGATTTATACAAATATTATCGATCGGCAAATTCTCATCCATATCTTGCACTTAGCGGCGCGTTGTTTTTGCGACGTGGCGAAATTCGATACACGTACATCGTTTGTGATCGATCGACGTGCAATCACGGCGGTTTTATCAAGACACGCGAATTTCTTTCAGTGAAACCGCATTCGTTTTTTACGGGCAATTACTTTCGGGACGTGCTCGCAGCATGACTGCGAGCTTAGGGCTAAGTCGGGATTAAGAGGGCTTCGGTTTAAGAGTGAGTCAACGGCTAAATACCGTGTCCCACTGTTACGCGGCTCTGTTTCTTACCGGTGACGGCGGTGAGGAGGACGCAAAGAAGCGACGCGGAAAGGGTAGAACGCGGGTCTCGGTATCTCGCGGCACTTCGCATGATGCTTCCGATATGCTCTCGTCGATTACGCACTCATATACACGCGCGCGCGCTCATTCAGCCGTCACAGATCCGTCGTCATATCACCACTGTCAGATTTCAACGAGATCCGTAGGCAGATGGGAGATGAAGATGATCCATTGATTCAGACACTACACAATAAATATATTCCTCGATAGATTGTTTCTCTTTTTTTCAGTTTTTTTCTTTTTTTAAATAATTCTTTGCGTTTAACTTTCGATGAGATAACTTGGAAACGAAAGAAAAACCGACACCGAATGATCGAGGGGTTGCGGTAGGTCGCGGGCCCCCCTGCGATCCCTCGCTGACGATGGCGCGCTGTTCGTCTAAGGACGACGTAACGTGAAAGGTTTTCCGGTCGACGGACGAGCGGCTACTGAAGCTCCCGCCGCAAGCACGGCAAGCTTCCAGTGCGTCGACTCCGTCGTGCACCCGAAAGCTCACTCTCCGACTCACTCTCGCACTCGGCCCCCGCGACATTCTTTCTCTCTCGACCATACGCGACTCTCTCTCTCCTGCTCCCGCGATTCGCCCATGCCTTTCTGTCGCACTCCGGCTACTCTCACTCTTTCTCTTTCCCTCCCCCTCTCTCCCTCCTTTGCTCTGTCTCTTTCTCCGCCTCTCGCCCCCACAGCCATTTTAGCGTCGTCGTCGCGATCAGGCGCGCCAGTGCGGGCTGCGCGCGCGAGGGAGCTTTCGCGTCCTAAAGCTGAACAGACGAGGGGCTGCGGGGAGGGGTGATTGATTGGCGCTGAAACTTCGCGACTGATTGAATCTTTTTTACGTTTCAATATCGATATCCTAGAGCGGGGCGGAGAGCGGCGCGGCGGAAGCGATGGAAGAAGACTCCGAGAGTAGATGTCTTACGTATACGCGTACGTCGTGAATCCGAGGTTTCGCGAGAGATCGCCCATGCAAGCTCCACTCTGCTTTCCGTCACTCATGATCAACGGTCGCCCTTATGACAGACGAATCTCAGACTCGAACGAACTCAATCTCTTCCCTGAATAATTCGGTGCTTATAACGTGTGAGCGCGCGCGCGCGCGCCATAGGAAATGATGCTTGATCGAGATTATCGGATAGAAATTCTCAGACTGCGAGGAAATTTGGTATAATGACTCTGACGTGAGACTAAGACGTCGGACGTGAGCGATTTCGAGAACTACGCGTCGTCGCATGGTAGAACTTTGATTTAGTTAGATGGATATTAACGACACTCTGCAGATTCACGCGAAACATGTAGAAGCGAACATGTGAAGCCCGTTTAAAAAACTCTTGCGGTTAATTGAACCACAAGCGATACGCTAATTACCGCAACTGTTGGCCGATATCCGCGTAGTTCGATACTGCTCTCGGTGATTTTGATCGATTATTCGCGGTCGTATCTGCAGCCCCGAGCAGAGAAGGCCATTATGCGCGTTAAGTCGAGCAAGATGCACGTGGTTGAGTGTAACTTATCGAACCGATTTCTATGCACGAAGAAATACAGCAGAAAGTGATTCGCGGTATTGATAAATAAGATTGGAAGATGGAATTGCATTCTCTCGCTTACACGCTTTATCATTCAGGTTTAGCGAACTCATCTTTGGATCTCGAATGCCACATAATGCGTTTACTTATGCAGCGTTTAAGAGCGCAAAAAAAAGTCGCACAGGGGAATTACCTTGGGCACTTAGTTTCCATTTCAAATGAGCTCTCGATTCGCAAGTAAGCTCGACGACCGCTTAATCTCGTTTGAAATAGATCAGATTCATTGGATATATGGCGGTGCGCTAATTAAAATGAGATGAACGCATCCCTGTTGGGACGCTGAACTCTGACGTATGATTCGTTCTACTGCAGCGTGTGCAATTAACTGTAGCTTATTGATCAGGCATGAATGACGAGCCGTGGATAATCACAGGTAGCGTGTACGTCGTGCAAGAAAGGCACGTGGTAAAAGGATATCCGGGCAGAAACAAGATTCGTGCACAGTCCGACCGCGTGTTCGTCGCTCGGCGCGGAGGTACGGCAAAAAGCGATAACGCCGCCCGCTCGTAATTAAAAATATGTCCGACAGGAGAAACGTCGGGCCGGGCCGATTGTTGTTGGTCCTGGTTTCACTCGCGACAGGCATATCTCCGTCGACATAAACGGCGAGCGCAGAGTCGATCGCCAGTCATCAATATCTACCGGATATCGGACACTGTTACGATCATTAACACATTGTTGACGATGCAATCGCCTGCCAGTCAGCGTTATGTTTTTAGTTTTATTTTAACTGACACGTGTACCGATTTGTTCGTTTTTTTTTTTTTTTTTTACTATTTTTCACACGCGTGGATTCTTACTGAGTTTTCAATATGTTCCGAGAATCTGCTGTTGCTTAAAAAAAGTGCGTATAAGTATTAACACATTTTTAATAATCTATTGACACCGGAAGAATACGTGATGATTCTGATATTGACACTGCACATCGTACTATGACTATTTTCACCAATGCATTTGATACAGATAAGATACGTAGAAAGTATGTCAGTCGATACGCGTGTCACTTTTCATATCATTTCACATAATAACGTGAATACGCTGTTTTGCACGTATCCAATGAATTATTGGCTCCTTGAAAGTTGTCGTTTTATTAAAAAATGATATTTAATGGAATAAAGTAATTTTAATATTTAGTTATTACTCAAACTAAATTAGAGAAAAAACAATTGTAATAACATGAGACTTTCCGTGCATCAAATGAAAACTCCCTTCGGCAGTTTGTAACTATTATTGCACAATTTGCATAACATTTTTTGCATCTCATTTTCTAGGTCTTTCTTAAAAATAAATCTCAAGATCAAGCACTTTTGTTCGCAAGATTATTCAACATTATTCAAAGTAAACTGCCTCACGTAACTCCAAAGTTTTCCGATTCAGGCATTGAACTAATGATTATTATAACGTGACAAGTGAAAAGATAGAGCACGATAGTGATCATGACTGTCCTGGATAATGAGGGATTTTAACACCAGCTCATTTTCTTTCTCTCTCTTCTGCCTTGAACGGGTCGATCTAAATTACCTGGGATGGTCCAAGAAGAAATCTGCCGATCATGATTCTTAGCTTAGAAACATCTGGATATCACGCACAGTTACGTTAATTAAGGATGAATGAGTCGACTACGGGTAAATGTCCAACTCCATTCGAAGTACGGTGAAATGATTGACGCATGCTTCGAAAATTATCGGTGAAGCCTCTTTCCGCTTCATTTCCACTGCTTCCCCGGCACATTAGCGTCCTAATTGGACACTCCTTCGCGATTCTTTAGATTGCACGTTATATCCTATGATCGCCGTCTCAAGACGGAAGTAAAATTAAGTTTGGTATTAATAAATTTTCAAATCTCCGTTATGAATACAAAAATATTACATTGGAACTCTCAATACTATAAATATTTTATGAAAATGTATGAGAAAAGTATAATAAATTCATTCCGTCTCGTCTCGCCATTTATGCCTAATCGATAAGTTCTCTATTCGGGTTACAATGTGCGACTTCCATGATTGATGTAGTCACGTTTCTCCTATATTTTTAACAGATTTCGCATTCGTTCGATCGCGGCGAATCAAGACATTAAATATACACAACTCGGTAAAATGTAGCAGAAGCGTTTTTAACGAAACGAAAAATACTTCCCACACCGGAGACTAAATATTCCGCTTAAACTTTGTATCGTCGCTACCTGCTCGACGCGACCGGCATTTCCGTAAGGTTTTCCACCTCCGGTGATATGCGGGGATCTATCTGAGTAGCGGAGGAAGGATTTGAATCTCACGGAAGTCTTAGGCGCGAGTTAATTTGTCACTCTCCCGTACACAATTTCCTCTCCTCGGGCTCTGCCAACATCTTCCTCATTATCTTCGAAATAAACGACCGTTAACAGGGATGTTTGACGTCGGTTAGGCTCGAGAGTGAGGCGAACGTGCGGATTATAATCGTAGAAACGGTACTTCCCGCAGGTACTCCTAGAAACGAGGAAGCGAAACGCGATACCTAAATAAATGCATTACAAAGGTGTTGATTTTACAAAGTAACATTTTGCGCGCGTGATTATTTCCGGGAATTGTGTAAACGATAATTCCAAACTCCGTTTACCTTAACGGGTAAATATACATCCTTCGATCATTAGCCGCGCTGGAGTGGATTATCTAAAATATTGATTTTATTGTAATATCGATAGTGTTGATCGTATAACAAGTTGGATTCGCCGACTTCCAAATATAATTTCATGAATTAACTGTTCGGGAGTGATCCTCAATTCTACCGTTCTCCGTATCCGTGCGACTTTCAAACTTTTCAATTCGCGAAAATGAACGAGACTGTTCCATCAATGTCGCGCAAAGGATTCGTCGCCTATTCGTGCGTAATAAAAACGTACTGAGACCGTGTATGCGTGAAACATCCGTTGTACGCGCTATACATCGCGGCGGAGCCAGAGAAAAATTTTTGGCGGTCCCAGATGCGATCGGCCGATCGAACTTTAATGTCGTTTGCAAGCGGTTTCTCCCCCCACCCCTCTCTCTCTCTCTCTCTCTC